ATAATAATAAATCTGGAGGAAATTATTGCACATTTATGAAGGCGTGAGTACAGATTCATGGTGTTTTGAAATTTGTCTTGACAGAGACCAAATCCTGTGTAAAGTTCAACGCGGGATAATGTATTTTTAAGAGACAATTATTTTGTTTTGTGACGATGTGCTTGGTGGGCCAATTAAATTGAATGCTCTTGTCATTTTACCTGTCACCTTCTTTTCATCTGTTAAATGAATTCAGGAGAAAAGATCGTCTGCCCTAGCATTGTTTTCTTCCACGAATTACTTTAATTTCACTTCCCACTCCATCCAGCGTAGAATCAATTCTTTTACAAAGCATTTTTAAAAAACAAAGGGTGAAGATATCTTGAAGAAAAACCATGGGAGGCGAGGCAGCAGTTGAAGCCAGGCTAATGACAGGGATCGATCCATTGCATGAAGTGGATACTGCTTGGAAGGAGAAGTATGTTTAGTTCATATATATTATTCCACTTGCAAGATAACTACAGTATTCTAAAGAAAGAATTCCCTTTAGTAATGGAGGTTGACAGCCGCATCAGTTGGGTGGAGAGAAGAATAATTGGCCTCTACTGTTTAGTTTCCCCTGCAGATCATGAATTATATCACTGTCTTCTTGCTTCAAATCATTCCCTGTGAAATTACAGAATATCATGATTATTCATCATTATCAACGTTATTAAAAAAAATATTAATTGAGATAAAGTTTAATTTAGTTAAATGCTGAATTATTTAAGGAAAAAAACTTAAATTATATTTGAACTGAGTTCTTTTCTTCATTGATAAATTAACCGTAAAAATACTCCGACGGTATCCCTCGATATCCCAACCTTATCCTCTGTTTAATTTTGTCATATCCAGCATGCATTAGAATTTGAATTCATTGAGCGCTATTATTATTATTATTATTATTATTATTCTGGTTTATGTTTCAGCATATCTAATACCCATTATTACTATTATGTTTAGAATTGTAATAATAGTTATTTTTTAAAGTATTTTTATTTAAAAATATATTAAAAACATGTTTTTTGATATTAACAAATTAAAATAATTTAAAAATATTAATAATTTTAAACAAATATTTTTTTTAAATAATGAAACAAGGATAATGTAACCTCTTAATTGAAATGGAATGGATATCAGCATGTACATTTTATCACATCAATCGTGGGGGATAGGTAGATGCTGGATTCATAGAAACAAATAAAGATTCTGTTTATTTTTCGACGTTAAAAAATGTTTTTATATTTTTAAAATAATTTTTTATGTTTTAAATTATTCTAATATGAAAAATAAAATCTAAAAAAATAAAAAATATATATTATTTTGATATATTTTTGAATAAAAATTATAACAACTTCAAACACTAATAGTTATTTATTACTGGTTGATTATCACAAGTCACTTTTAACAACAGAGCTCGGCATCATCTTTCCTCGTGACTGCGACACTGAGACATGTGCGAGCGCACTATAGCCTGTAATTAATTAGGTGGTCCAAGAATGCATCAATCACATTGATGTTGCGACGGCTTACCCTCTGTCTCTGTACTCATCTGTATATATTTTAACAGCAGTGTTGTTTTCCCAGCCCATGCAGTGCCCAGGGTGTCCCCTCTCCTCTGCTTTCTATATATATATATATATTTCTTCTGGGTCGTAAGTTACGCGACATGATCACGCAGTTTATAATACTTGGGTTTTGCAACTAATTGCGACTTATTATACTCTCTTTTTTATTTTATCAAATTCAAGAGTGTGTGTTAGGGCAGCCAACTACAAGGAGTCCACTTCCTCTGCCTCTTTCTTGTTTTGCCCACTATCAAACATAATTAACCCCAAAAACATCCTTGAGTTCATACATGGCAGCTGCTTGCTTGATCACCTTGAACAAAGAAGAAGAGCCAGATAGCATGCTGGCGCTGGCTCTGTATTTACCAAACTATCCCTGTCAACGGCTAATTCTAGGACAAACACGTTGGGAAATCATTGCATGTCTGGTCTATACGTGCATTTTCCATAGTTTATTTAGGGCGAGTCAAGCTACGTTAGGTAGCCCGCTCACACGCAAGAATGTCTAGAGATTTAGAACTCTGAATTGGTCTCTGTACTAACAACAGTTCCTAAACTGCAATTTGTGCAATAGAGAGGGGACCTAATTAAGTTTCCCATTAATCAAGGTACATTAATTAGTGGTTGATTAATTACCTTTATTACAGTCACGACAATCTACTTAATGAGTGCACGGAAACGTGCTCTTGGAGCCTATTCCCTCTTTTCTAGTGCTTCCGAGTGTTGATTGACTGAATTGTTGGGTTTATGACTTTTCTTCTCTTTTTTTCACGGGTTGATTAGATATGCAACCAAATCGTTGAAAATAGACTATAGTATAGGGTGGTAAACCATACTTTAACCCATATGAAATCTTAAGAAAAAGCTTAAATCTCCAGACTGCTCCTATAGTTTCAGAGAATACCCTTCAATCCTCATGTTTTTCTCTTATACAGAACACCCATGCATGGGAATTGGGATAGCATCCCACCAAGGTTTTCCATATCTCCAAAATTAAAAATTAAGAAAAAAGGGGCAGGTTCCTTGGTTTTCGTTATCTATTATTTCACCTCCAAGGGAAGTATTATTTACTAGAAAGATTGCTAGAAAATCTTAAACTATGGAGGTCGAAGTGGGACATCACTAACTATAGGAGCTTAAACGTAGTTTATCTTGAGCTGTAACAGCTGGATCATTTTTCTCGAGCAATTAGGAAGGTGGCCTCATTTGAGAAATGTGAACACTATTCATATAAAATCTAACACTTGCGAGTAACGTGTCCCTCGTTTATCTAAATGACACCTCAAGCAGGACAAAAGGCGGAACACGTTTCAATAAGACGTGATGACTTTAGGACAATCATTTGCTAACCTAAGAATCAAACTCCATGAAAAACGCTTTTCCTTCTCCCGGTTTCACACTCCATAATTAAACCTATTCCAGCTTGTTCAAGAAAGAACCTTTATGTTCAAGATCCCATCACCAATAGTCACGCGCTATTGGAGACAGCATGATCTCACCACTGCCCCGGGTATAGCGTGGCCACAATCTTTCTTCTACACTATGCCTGGAGAGGGGCAGGGGTTCATTATTCCTCTTTTCTTTTTCAGGCCTTCTTGGGCTTTTCTTTTAGTTGGACCTGTTGTCTATCCTCAAATCCAGAAACGCGGTTACCGGAGCTTCCAGCATCTCCTATGATCGACTCGTGTCTTCTTCTATGCATTCGGAATTGGAATCCAGAAATGAACCACACTTGATGTAAAAATGGTGACAGAGCATCTCCGTCCTCGGTTGCTGGAAAGGAGCAATGATAATTACAGTGCATCATGTAGGGCTATCACAGCATTGTTAACAGGGGCGGAGGCAAGGGGAGCAAGCAGGGGCCCGGCCCCGTAAGACATTTTAAATGCACATATGCTGAGAGATTAATAACCGCTAAATCAATTATTATGTATGAAAAAAAAAAATCAATGTGAAATATAATGTACAATGCAATTACAACTCATATTCGTATAAAAAGAATTAGGTTTCAATCATAAGCACCAAAATGAAAACCAGAGATAGAAAATTCACCCAGAACACAATGGAATTAGGTAATTAAGTGTTAGCTAGAGGTGTTATATTTTTTTATTTTAAAAAGGTCCTTATTAACATTAAATGTAACTTTATTTTTAATTTTTTATTTACTATTGACCTATGTGAAAAGAAAAAATATAAGATTATTATCTTATGTAGTTTTAACATAAATCTTATAGCTGATAAAAACACAAATCATGAGTAAAAGTTTTTTATAAAAAGATTGTAATAGAGTCACCAATTAATTTATCTTTCATCAAATAAAATAAAGTAATTTAAATTTAAAATCTATTTTAGTTTTATTTTGAGATTTTTGTTAATAATTTGATGAGTTTTTTTTATAATTCTATGATTTTTGCTCATTTTTTCCTCAAATCTGCTAGTTTTATCAATTGTTTTTAGAATTCTTGTTATGGTGATTTTTTTTCTAATTAATTAGATATATTTTATTTTTTTGTTTTGATTGTGCTTGGATTTTTTTATGTTTTGTTTTAAGCAGAGCCGCCAAAATTATCCATTCTTTCTCATGATATATATTTTGATTTTAGAACATGTCATCCAATCATGTATCAAATCATCCAAAGTTAAAAAAACATGTCATCAATTGCTGATTTATGTCAAAGATTAGTTGAAACAGAAAAATCAATAATTTATCCGCTAGTTGACATATTGATTTGATTTATTTTGATTCTTCTTGTTTCATTAACAACTACTAAACGAACTTTTTCAGCGATAAAGATTGTTAAAACAAGACTTCACAATCGGATGAAAAATAATTTTATTGTAAATTATTTGATTGTCTATATAAAAAAAAATTGTTAAAAAATTCACAATTGATATGATAATCAATGATTTTTATTTTATGAAAGAACGATGAACACAATTAAAATAAATATGTAAGAATTATTTTTTATTATTTTTTTTTTTATTTTAAAGTTTATCAAACATAAATAATGCTTCGCTTTACCTAATGTTTCTTATATAATTTGTATGTTTATATTTGATAGATATAAAGACTACCAATATCAAAGTGATGGATATATTATAAAAATAAAATTAACTTCATTACATTGACTTAATTTAGTATTACTCCAAACCAAAATTAACTTCATTACATTGACTTAATTTGGTATTACTCCAAACCTTTTATAATTTTTACATTATAATATGTTTGTAGTAAGTTGTTTGAATAAAACTAAATTATACAAATTTTATTTTACCACTCATATAATAAATTAAAATAAATATTATATTTTATTATATTAATTTTAACCCTCTCTGATAAATAATTCTAGTTCCGCCCCTAATTGTTAAGAAAAGGCCAAATCCTTTTCCATAAAAGTCAGCTAGCCAAGTCAAGAATATCAATTCACCTTCCAGGGAAAAATAGTGTGCAATTGAACTAATGTTATTAATCGTCCTTAACAACTGTTCATGCTTTCAGATATCAACAGCCCACCAATGATCTCATGCACAGTATTGCTCCCCAGCGCAGCCAGATGTCGAATTCACAGAAAACAATCTTCTGGTAGAATTTTAAAACGAGCTACGCTCTCACCAAATAATACAAACCTTCCCCAAGTAAAATCAGCTTGGGAAGCAGATTAAGTTGTATATAAAAAGTTCTCGGGAGTGATAAACACCATTCAGGCGAGTAACTCCATGCTAGTGGCTCATGGAAAGCGGAGGAGTTTGTTCACAGCCGAGTCCAGCACATCGACATTTCTCCTCAGGTTTTTTCTAATCAAGCATTAAGAAACCCAAAAATACCGAAGATGACAACCAAGAGAAATTATAGAGTTATAATGCACTGCAAGAAATTTTTTTATAGTAGAAAGAGTCGCTTTCTTGAATGCAAAGGCCTGTGGTTCCCAGAGAAGAAGGAACCACCTAGCATTTGGTTACCTCCGTGCTGGAAGGAGAAACCAAGGAGGTAAGATGAGCCTGTCGGTTCATCATAAGCAGCTTAAAGCAGCAAGTAGGGTAAGTGACATGCAAACAAGTCTGCTAAGAAGACAAACACAAAGGATACAGTTGAGTCGCTAGAGTGTCCATGCCCTTCATTTCCTCGTTCAATCTGCACCATAATTCCAGAAATGGCTTGGGAAAGGCATATTTAAAATATCATCAACTATTGACAAATAAGGACTGTAAACAGGTTTTCAAGACTCCAAGTAGGGTTGCTTGAGTGAGTAGTTAGGCAACAAAAGGAACTATCTCCAGCCAAGTTAGTGTCAGCGCTCTAACCAGTTATCTCTAGCAGACATGAAAATTATTTAACGCTGTTTTTAAATTCTGGTTTGTACTCAGAAGGGGGTGGCAAAACAATATGGCGACAGATGGCTCTGGCAAACAAAAACTCGCACAAATTGGAGGTTCAATTCTCAATTCATAGGTAATGAAATACTTGTCCAGATATATTAAGCTGTAAAACTTTGATTCTATTTTCTAATCACGAAGACACTATCCCAGGAGCAATTGGGGGAAACAACAAGGTGGTGAAAAATTAAGCAGAACAATCTCATTCAGATTCAGCTACAACCATGTTGCACTCCAAAAATCTTTCACACATGTGAATTATCCAACATTCTTCATTAAATCCCAAAAGGTAAGAAAGAAAAATAACCATCAGCATTGTTTTTCTGCACTTAACATTTTGAAAACCATGTAAAAATTATGCTTCACAGAACCAGAAAACTATCTTCAGATATATATATATATGAAGCACAAGGCATCTTATAGAAGTTGTGACTATCCTTAACATTTATTACTCTCAACTTTCCCTTTTTTTAGTGCTTGTTTGGGAATGTGACTGGCTGCGCATTACCAAAAACTTTTATTTTTTTTTCTTCCTTAAGATTAATTTTTTTTTTTATGTTTTTGAATTGTTTTGATGCTTTAATATCAAAAATAAATTGGAAAAAATAATAAAAGATATTATTTAAATACATTTTCAAGCAAATAGAACTTTGAAAAGTAACCAATACCGCACACCCACACACACTTTTCATCACCATCTGAGAAAAATTTAAACTTTACCAGTTAATCAAGCATGAGCACAAGAGCTTGCTCTCTATACTGTTAATATTTCTCCTAATGAAAAATACAACAAAAGCAATTTTACAACCCTTTTCTTTTGTTTAATTAAACCTTTCAAATTTAAAAATTACTAATTAAATTATACCTCATACACGAATTTATGTACCGATTTCCCTTCGTTGCTGCATCAAGCACTGCAAGATAAGATACAATGATCGAAGATTTACAAAAAATAAAAAATTCACAATTAATATCAACAATAATCAAATTCTTATAAATAAATATCTAATTATTTTTACCAGATTCTTGAAGACGAGCAGTAGCATCACCAAAACACTGAATATGATCAACTGATGTACTAGTAGCCTACAATTATCACACACAAAAAAAAAATACTTCATTTCCTTTTCTCAAGAACCAAACAGAAAGTTAGAAGAGTCAAAACTGACCTCGGAGAGAGCGACACGAAGTGAAGCGAAAAGAGAAGTGAAACTACCGGCGATGGCCAGAGAGTCTCTCTCGATGATTTCTAGTGCCTTGAAGATCTCGCCCTGGTTCAAATTGGTTTTCGGTTCACGGCGGTCGGGTTCATCGGGACACATCGCTGGTGGATCCAGGTCTGGCTGTATGATTACTGATTCTGTATCCGTAGATTGATCCACCTGAGATGCTGCTGCTTCTTCCATTTCCCGCGATTAAAAGAAAGATAGAGATTTGTATTTGGATAATTTTAATTAGTTATAGATGGGGAATTCAGTGACCTTTGTAAAAACTTTACCACGATCTAATTTCGTTTGGGCTTTTGTGTTTATTGGATATGGTTTTGGTTTTTTATTTTTTCAAGTTATCCATTGACGGGAAGCCTAAGCACAAATTCAAAATAACTTTATTTGTCTTCTAATTATTATCAATAAACTCAGTTTAATGATTAATCTAATAACTTATTAATTTCAGAGTCTGATTATGGTTTTATTTGTTTTTATATTTTAAAATATTAATTTTTATTTTTATTTTTTTCTTTACTATTTTATTTTTTTTTATATTTTAAAAATATTAATTTTTATTTTTATTCTTTTCTTTACTACAAATTAATATTTTTTTTGTTATTTTTAGATTATTTTAATGCGTTGTTATTAAAAATAATTTTTTTAAAATAAAAAAATATTATTTTGATATATTTTTGAGTGAAAAATACTTTAAAAACCAATCACAACTATATTTTCAAATAAAAAACTTGGGTAAGATGATTAATTCAAAGAATATTTTATAAATTTTGTTTCTAAAACAATATATTTTCAATTTTTTTAATTTTTTATCCAAAACAATTGTTGTAGTAAGAAAAGGGAAATAAAATTAAAAAAGATGATTGGGTAATGAAAATAAGAGATTTTAAAATCAAATAATATATGGTTATGTTTTTAGGAGGAAATTTTTTATTTTTATCATTTTCAATAAATTATTCTATACGAATTAATATCAACATTAATAACCTAATTTTGGGTTATTCATCAAAAATTATTTTTTTAAAAATAAAAATAAAAAATAAAATAAAAGTTGTTACTATGGAAAAAGTAGGCCAGGAAATTAAGCTACAATTTTAGAGAAAATTTTAAAGCTTAATTGTACCTCATTATGCTAAAAAATAAAAAAAATACAGATTCAAGGTCAAATTAAATGATTATTGAATGAATTTGCATAAAATTTAAGTCTAAGGACAATTAAATTTTTAGCGAATTTGCATAAAAATTAAGTCTAAGGACAATTAAATTTTTAGTAAACTAATTTGATTTAATCATAGGCTAAATTAAATTTTAATTATATTTAAGAATTAATTTGGGTTTAATTAAAAGATTTAATTAAGTGCAAGAACTTAATTATACTTTAAATATGTCAAATTAATTTTATTTAGGGTTTAATTGGTAAAAACTTAAGTTTGAAAGCCTAATTTAGACTTAATTGAGAAGATTATAATTTTAAGAGAACAAATTTAATTTTTACTAAATTAATTGATTAAAATCAGGGGCAAAATCATAAGAAAATTGAAGTTTTAGAGTCAATTATAAATACAATTAAATCAAATTTAAAGAGGGAGGATTGAAATAAACTTTGGTTGAAATCAGAACTTTGATATTGTTCATCTTCTTTTTAAAATTTTTGAAATGATAACTCAGAGAGGCTACTTTGTAAATACATTTAATGTATCTGATATCTATAAAAATTAACAAATCTTGCACTAAATGATTCTCTACAATTTCTCTACAGCCTTATATAGCCCGTTCAGACTAAATGACAACCTATTAGCACTAGCGCCAACCTAAAGAAGCAAACTCAGTCAGTTTTTTCCTGCAGATTTGACAACTCAGGATGTTTACTTTGAGCCAACGGTTGAGATCCTTACCAATTGAATCAAGGGTTATAATTTTTTTCTAGTGCAGATAAAATTACCTTTTTCCACTGTCTATAAATAGAGGTGGATTTCATGGGCCGAAGAAGAAAAAAAACAAGTCCACAGTCAGCCAAAAACAAACCTTTCTACCCCGTTTCTACAGTTTTTTCTCTCCCTCTCTCTCCCAGCCATTCCAGCCACCACTAGTTTCTCCACCATTAACTCCATTATAGGAAGCCACCAACTGATCATTGAGAGCCACCATGAACTTTTCCTCTTCAAACCGGTTTGTTCTTTCTCCCACAGCGACTCTAGCGGCCAAAACTCTCCACCATGCCATCATCAGCCTCTCGTCTTCCACGACCAGACCATCTCTAACCTTACTCTAGGCTACTGACAACGACTTCTTCTCCTCCACAAGACTGCCTTCCACTTCACTCCACTGTTTGCAACTGTAAAGTTTCTATCACTTAGCCGGCCAGTTCTGGCCCGGCCTAAATGGCTGAAAAATAAAAATAAATTCAAAAACTCCTTTTCATAAAAATTTGTGATTTTCTCATATATTTTTCTACCCATTTTCCATGACATAGGGTTGTATATTTCACTATAAAATACAAATCTAGCATTAAAATACCAATTTTCTAAAAATATTTCAAAAAAATTGAAATATTTCCAAAAAATCTCATAAATATTTTAAATTAATTTCTCTTTTCTAAAACAAACAAAAAAAATATTTTTTTTCATGTATATGGCCAAATCTTGAAAATTTTCCAAGCATACTTTCTTAAAAAACAAAATTGCATATATTAAAAGAAATTTCAAAAAATAAATATCATAATCAGTTTATGATTATCTGTTAGGATTTGACCAAAATATCAAAAACCTTTTTCTAATTTTTTTTTAACGTCTAGATGCAGATTTTAATATTTGTGGGTTGTAAAATTATACAATAAAATACACTCTTAAGCATTGTTGTTAAAATCGAGTTTTAACTCGTAAAATCATATGATTTTACGAGTCAAAACATGTTTTACCTGCTGAATAGTTTGAAAAAATAAAAAAGAGATGAAATCAGATTGAAATTAAATGAAATCATTAAAATCGAGTAAAATAAAAAAAAAATGTGAGTTCAGGAATGATTGAACGATTTTGCCAAACCGCATAAACTGAAGTAAATGTGTCCCTCCGTGCTCCAGCTGTCCGGCGTTTATTGGCTGGGTAAATGCACAATAACTCCAAAGTCTCCAGACTCTTCACTCTAGTAAATGTATCGCCTTTCTTCCTTTTCAATGAGAACAAATCCCTAATCTCCTTCAACCACAAAAGCGGCGATGATCAGTCCAGTCTTCAGTCCAGTCATCAGTGCTCATGACCGAGTATCTAATCGGTTCATTTGTCAATGAAAAGACGTTTCCTATAAGTTCTCTTCATGAAGCCTGCAAGCTCTTCGGTCAGTTTATCACGAAACCTCCTCCTCTGTTCATTAACATCTTATCCTCCATTATATAATCTGTATTTGCTTTAATTGTACTTTATTCGCACATTAACCATTCTCTCTCTCTCTCTCTCCTCTTCATTATTTTTTAGTGCATTCACTTCTTTGTTTATTGGAACTATAATTATAGAAATTATGTATTTTTAACCAAAAAAAATTTATGCAACACAAAATAATTGTTATACTAGGCATCTGGCGAAGATTTTGATTCACTTATCATGGTGTTTGCAAAAGTGTGTTTCGAATTTTGCTGCACCTTCGGAGTTTTATGCGAAGGCTATTAATGTGGTTTACATTTCATCTATTTTTTTGAAGTATTTAATTGAAAATGCTCAAAGCAATAATAGCATTGAGGAGTTGTATTTGTCATTGAATGTAAGCGAACCATCATCTAATGATTTCAACACAGGTGTTTCATTTTTGTTATTTGGTAAGTAGTGCAAATTGAATGTCAGGGTGTCGGTTTGTTTCAAAGCATCCATAGTCAGCAACATTTAAGTGTTTAACCTGTTCTCTTCTATTATTGTTTTTGAATAGGCGTAGTTTGGCCATCTTTTCTTCGCAGGAAAAAAATCTAATGGCGAAATGGGTGCCAATAAGTTACAGTTTTACTCTATAATTGGAAACTAGATCTGCATTAAGGTTATGCAAAGAAATGCAATTGTCATAGAAGTTTCTAAAAGTTTAAATAAGTCCAAACATTTAGGTGAAGAACTGCTGAACTATACATCCTCAAACAGCAGATTAATTATGGAAAGGAGGTCAAAAGAAAGTTAGATTTGAACTTTTGGACTTTCAACGAATAATTTCAGGACAGATCTTGGTGTTTACTGATAGAATATATTTATTCAAGCCCTAAGAATGCCAATTGTGTACTATAAACTCTCTGCTTTCAGTTCCATTGAAGTTTTTGTTTGACAGCTATGCTTTCCAGTACATGTAAATCATTGTATGCTGAATTTGTTGCATGTGCGGATCAAAACATCGAAAATCTTGTCATGCATAGTGTACTTTTGTTCCATGCTCTGTTGAAGTAAGGTACACCATGGATTTCTCACCATGCTCACTGTGTTAAGATTTTGTGCAATTTGATCTTCTAAAATGCGTTATTCTTGTTCCAAGTTCAAACACATACCTTCTACATCACGAGTTGCTCAATTTCATGCTTATTGCAATGTCAACCCAGCATTTCTACTGACCATCTCCTGGACCAAGTGACACGAACCCTTTTCTTGATGTAGTCATGGTTCAGGTTAGTGGGCGACCTTTGGCTTTATTTCTTGCACTAAGTTCAGAATTGCTTAGATCTTGCAATCTTGTTATGGACATCTTCCATAATTTATTGGAAAGTTCTTTGGTTAATTTTGTTGTTCGGAGATTGCTATTTAATTATATAGTGCAGCCTTGTATCCCATTTGACAGTGCATTTTATCCAGTATTTTCTGGCAGGAGTCAGCCTGGAGTTTGCAAAGTGTCGGTTCTGCAGCTCGTATGATATTTTTATTAGAGCTTCCTTTTATTTGAATAGGCTTGAACTAGTCAGTTTTCTCATCTAAAAACATTAGTGCTTTTGTTGACATTATATATTTGCTTTGCAGCCACTTTTGTTTTATTACCATTCAATTATTTGGTCAGTTCAACTAGTGAAGGCTCAAGAAATTCATGTCTGAATTTTTATTTGAAGCATGAATTTTTTTTAATGTATTTTAAAATTCCTTACCATTTTACAATCTATTTTAAAATTCCTTACGATTTTACAATCTGTTTTTACAATCTAGTTTGTTTTGCATTTTTCATGCCGTGTTAAAATCACAATTTTAACAACCTTGCTCTTAAGTATCAAAAATACAAGATATAAATAAATATGATGTTAAAATTTAGACTTTAGAATGGTTAGGATTTAACCCAATAAGATAGAGACTTTTTCATGAAGTGAGATCTGCCTTAAACCTTAGAAAAAACTAACAACCTGACTTAGAAAAAACAATCAAACAACAATGCAACTTATCTTAGATAGGATGCACTTGGGGTGATACATCTTTCCATTGCATAATTGGTCCCTTACCCAGACTCTCACAGACCATATATTTCTAGTAACTATAATACTAGGTGGCGAATCCTAAACATTAATCATAATTTTATGATTAAATCTAAAAACTCCTTTCAACACATAACACCTCACATAGAAGACACGACAAAAAACCTCCGCTATCACCAGATGATGTCATGACACTTGTGACCCCCACGACATAAACAACTCATATAAATCACAATTCATGTATTTATTTTAAATTTATAAATAATTTTGATATGATAATATATCTTTACTTGAATGATATACTTATTATTAGTACTAACATAAATGATGTTAATGATTACAAGAAATATCTAACCTTAAAACTCAAAATGAAGGACTTAAATGAGGTAGATATAATTTTAGGTATCGAGATAAAAAAAATATAGTAGGAGTTTTGCTCTTTGTCAATCTCATTATATTGATAAAGTCTTAAATAAATTTAATCAATTGAATATCATAAAGCAAATACTTTTTATGATGTTTCTTTTAAGTTGATAAAAAATACTAGCAGATCAATTGCTTAAATTGAATATGCTAATGCAATTGGTAGCTTAATATATGTTATGTGTTATACTAGACTAAATATTACTTTCACAATATATAAATTGTCTAGATACACAGTAATTCCAGTAAGGATCATTAGAAAGAAATTACAAGGGTAATTGATTACTTAAAAAAAGTATAAATTTTAGATTGTTTTATAATGATTTTCTAGTAGTACTTTAAAATTATATTGGTGCTAGTTAAATAACTAATACAGGTGATAATAAAACAACCTTTGGATAAGTATTTATTTTAAGAGGTGGTGTTATTTCTTAGGCTTATTTATTTCAAGAGGTGGTGTTATTTCTTAGGCTTTAGATAAACAAACATGTATAAGTCATTCTACAATGAAATTCAAGTTTTTAGCTTTAGCAGTCGCAGGTAAGGAGGTAGTATGGTTGAGAAATATGTTATTGATATTAAATTGTGGCCATAATTGATGTCATTTATCTCCTTACACTGTGATAGTTAAGCAACTGTGTCTAAGATATTTAGTAAAATTTACAATGAAAAATCTAGACATATCAACTTCAAACATAAATATACAAAGCAATTAATTTTTGACAAGATAATTATCATTATGTATTTTAGATCTTGTAATAATCTAGCAAATCCTTTCATTAAAGATCTCTCAAGAGATTTAATTAGAAATACTTTTGCTAGTATGAGATTAAGACCATCTACTTAAACATACTAATAAGAGAAACCTAACTTTTACTATTTTTGCTAGTTATGAGTTTCACGAGTAATAACAAATTTTTAGTAAGAATTGTGCATATTGACACGACCAAAAGATTGATATCTTCTCTCAAGTACAGGAGTGTCGAAGTAATAAATAACCCGACAAGACCGAGGTCGAACCACAAGGAGATTAATTGTATAAATTATAGATAACAATAATACAATGATAATAACAACAACAATAATAGTAACAGTAGTAGTAGTAGTAGTAGTAGTAAATAAGAAGAAAAAGAAGAAGAAAAAGAAAATGAAGAAAATGAGAACTTTGAGATAGAATATCAACGTAAAGATTTAACAACGATAACAATAAATGTCAAGGTTAGAGGATCCACTAATGGTATGTCAAACAAGTATAGTATAAACT